GGTTGCCAAGGACTAAGTACAAAGAGTTCAAATCTGTTTCTGGAAAAAAGAACCCTATTTTTGAGTTAGGAATGATTTTTAAAAGCAGAGCTCAGTTTGCTAGAGCTGTCAGGCATCATGCCATCCTCAATGGTAAAGACATTAGGTTTAAAAAGAATGAGGGAGTAGTGTTAGAGCAAATTGTAGAGAAGGATGCCCTTGGACTATTTTTGCATCTCTGAGAAGTGGACACAAGAAAACACTTCAAGCAAAGACATACAATCCCAAGCACAATTGTGGTAGGGTTTAGGTAAGTAGGCTAGTCAATTCTAGTTGGTTGGCAATGGTGTATTTGGATGAATTTAGAATAAATCCAACATGCTCTGTTTCTGAACTCATGGAAAAGGTAAGGAAATATTTTAACATTAAGGTTTCCCCCAGGCAGCTTTACAGAGCAAAGAGGAAGGCTGTAACAAAGCTAAGAAGAAGTGTTACTGAACAATTTGCAAAGTTGTGGGACTATTGCAAAAAGATTGATAGAACCAACCCAAGAAGTAGTGTGTACTTGCACTTTAAACCTGATGAGGATGGAAACCCAACTAATGTATTTCAAAGGTTCTATGTTTGTTGGTATGCACTGAAGAAGTATTGAGGGCTGCAGGCCTATAATTGGTGTGAATGGTTGTCATTTAAAAGGTGCTATTGGTGGTCAGTTGCTCACTGCAGTTGGACTGGATGGAAATAACCAAACATATCCTGTGGCTTATGCAATGGTGGAGATTGAAAACACCAACGGCTGGACTTGGTTTTAGTTGATGGCTGATCTTGGAATATCCAATGATCCAAAATGGACCATAATCTCTAATCTATCTGTGGCTTATGTTGTTTTTGTTTGTTTGACATGTGTATTTGGATGATTGCAAGGTTTGGAGAGAGCAATTGCTGATTTGGTTCCAGCAGTTGAACATAGGCATTGTATAAGACATTTACACAACAATTTCAAGAAAGATGGGTTGAAGGTCAAAACTTGAAGGATAGGTTATGGAATTTAGCTAGAGCAACTTATGTAGACAGGTTCAATGTTGAAATGCAAGAGTTGAAGATGGAGAACAAATTGGCATATGAATGGTTGGCTGCCAAAGATCCAGTCCATTGGACCATATCCCACTTTGGTACCAGTGCAAAATGTGACATTCTGTTAAACAACCTATGTGAGTCTTTCAATGCTTCCATTGTATTTTCCAGGGACAAGCCAATTTTGACTTGTTTTAAGAGAATTAAAATGTATTTGATGGAAAGGTTAGTTAAGAGAAGAGAGTATGCACAAAAGTGGCAAGATAACATTGGCCCTAAGATACACAAGGTGTTAGAGAAAAATAAGACAAATGCAGCTACATACATTCCAGCATTAGCAGGAGATAAAAAAATTTGAAGTAAGAGGAATGCATGGTGATCAGTTTATAATGGACCTTAAGCATGAGACATGTTCTTGTAGAAGATGGGATTTGACAGGAATCCCCTGTGCACATGCAATATCTGTCATTTGGACATCAATGGAACAACCTAAGGAATATGTCCATTATTGTTACAAAAAAGATACATTTATGAAGGCTTGTACACACATTGATGTGCCCAATGAACGATGCTGAGATATGGGTGCAATCAGGGAAAGAACTAGTGCTTCCCCCAGAATACCTTAAGCAGCTTGGAAGGCCAAGGAATGCAATAAGTAGGGAACCAGATGAGGGACCTAAAGGTCAAAAGCCCTACAAATCTAAGGAGATTTAAAAAGAATTTGAGTTACAGAATATATGGACAGAAGGGCCACAACACCAAGACTTATAAATCAGAGCTTCAACCCTCTGTAAATAAAGCCCACAACATTTGTTTGTTTTCATTCACTTGGTGATCACTAACTATGATACATCTTGTGCTTTGTAGCAGGATAATACAACAACAGGTGAAAGTGATGTTGGAACTTTTGCAAGTCAAGGGCCAATGCCAAAGAGGCCACCACCTATTGTTGCTGCTAATTTTGCAAGTCAAGGGCCAATGCTAAGGAGGCTACCACATGCTGCTGTAATTTTTGCAAGTCAACCTCCAATGCACCACCACCTGCTGCTACAACTTTTGCAAGTCAAACTCCAATGCCTATAAGACTAACACCACCTGCTGCTGCGACCTCTATCACTCAAGCCTCAAGACTGAAAAGGGCAGCACCAACCAAGGAAGGCACATCCAAGAAGAGAGGGCGAACACAGTAGTAGAAATATAGGATTGCTTTTTGTGTTTGTAATGACAATGAACTTCACGTCAATTATTTAGTAATGTAGGATTGTTTTTTGTGTTTGTAATGACAATGAACTTAAAACTTTTATGAATGGAAATGATGATGATGTTTATCTTTAAATGGGGGGAGGGCGGGCTGAACTGTTATTCTGTTTTTGTGTGTGTGTGTGTGTGTGTGTTTTTTTTTTTTGTTGGTAAACACAATCAACCATTATAAAAGATTTGGGCACACAATTTTCCATACAAAACCTTCCATTCATTACATATCCAATAACTTACATAGCAAATATAATACATAGGAAACCCAGAGTATCTTTTACAGCAACAATACCAAGATGATAAGCCAAGTCATAACCAAACAAACCCAGAGTATCTTCTTCTTCCTTTTCATCTTTGATATTTGCTCTTCCATCTTAGTAATCCTTCGTAGGAGTCCTGGTATAACTTGCTTTAACTGGCCACACATAGGTACATCAAACCACTAGAAAAATCCATATCCTCTCCCATTGAGCCCATATCCGTCGCATCATAAGAATCATCTTCCCAGGTTCAAGTTTGTCCAAGATGTCTTCATCACAGTAGCTCTACCACATGAGCAATGCATTGCATCCATCCGGTACATTGTTCTTCCTCTTTCTACTCTCCTTCCTCTTTCTCTTCTTTGTCTTCATGATGCTCTATTTTTTTTTCCATACACAGCCATGTATATATATGTGGGTATATATTAGAGGACTAGCGGGAACATTCCCTCCAGTTTTATTTGTGTGTAAAAATGTCTCTTTTGCCCTCCACTAACGCTATTCCGTTAATGATTTGGACGGCAGACATAAATTGGATTTGATAGACACAAATTATTCAAGTTTAGGGACTAAAGAAACACAAGCAATAGCTAAGGGACCAAATAGAAAAGGCGCATATAGTTTAGGGGGTAAAAGTGTAATTTAACCTTTATTATATATAATTCACACTCCTGATATAAAATCAAACCCTAATATAATAATAAATTACGTGACAGTTATCGTGATATTTTCTGTCTAATTTTGAACATAATTTAGTTTTAGGAGTAAATTGAAAAAAATTTGAAACATAAGGAGCTAAAGTGGAAAAAAATAAACTCAAAGACCAAAATGAAAATTTGATTAAACATAAAGGGGGCAAAATGTAATTTGCCCCAAATTTTGAGAATAAAGAAAGAATGATTCTACTTTCACAACTAGCTTATCTCATTACACCCTTCATATGAGATTTTATTTATTTATTTATTTATTTATAATTTTACCCATGTGTGAAATTACTTTGAAGGATAAAATATTAAAATAAAATATATTTTCTTATTTCCTTACACCCATTACTCTTCAATCCCTACTGCTCTTCTTCCCTTCTCAATTTTTTTCTCTACTACATATCTCTTTTCAAAAAGTGAGAATCATAGTGTTTTGATCATAGAAGAAAGTAATGGATGAAAAACGGTAGTGAAGAACTAAAAGTAAAATTGTCAGTTTTTTTTTATTTGTTTGGTAAGTATTCGTTTCATTTTTTGAGAAAACTTTTCGACTTTTGTTTGGTGTGTCAAAATTGAACAAAATAAAATAATCTAAAATCAAATTGCCGAACAAAAAATATATGTCTGGTAACCTCCTGTCAAATAAAAGATACATTTCAGGTAACCCAAGGCCTAACGTTTTTAATTTGTTCAGTTACTAACTACCGTGCATTTCCAGTTTCATTTTATATATATATTTTTTGTTTTTTTGCTTTGGAGGATTATGCTTCTATTCATTGCAGCAGTGCAAGTATAATCATCCGGCTGCTAAACATCTTGAAGGGCACTCATTTGCTAGTAGATTATCTGAGGAGAAGACATTTTTATTAGTTGATATGTCAAAGAGTATGGTGCGATCAAAAGAGATATTGATTACATTGAAACAAAGGAATGCATTTAATGCGACAACAATCTACAACATACGTAAAGCAACATGTGGCTGGACAAATTTATTTTAGTTCGACAGCATAACACTAGAGTAATTTAATTTGTATAGCAATGTTACTAAACAGACACTTCACAAGTGAATTCCAACTAATTTCTTATTAAAGTAAAGTACAATCATCCAATCGAACGGTAACAAATGGCTAGAAAAAATTGGTTTGTCTGGTAACACGACACTGGAGTAATTCAAAATCATTAATATTGTATTACCAAAAGCTATCGGTGTAAAGAGATAAAACTGAAATGGTTTTGAAGAATTTTAGTTTATGGTTAGTTTGGGTAGTATAATAGGTGCAATGAGAATTATATATATTTTTTCCAGTAATATAATGAGATGAAAAGTATAAAGAAGTAAACTAGTGGTGCAAGTAAGATTACTCTAAAGAAAAGTTATAAACAACTGCAGAAGCCACCATTAAAACGAGCCACCCTTAAAAAGTGCAAATTAATGGATATAAATCTTGTGCTGAATTTTACTGCACAATTTATCCCACTACCCAAACATTCTGGTCAAGTTTGGGAAGTTGAAAATAATTCATCTTTTTATCTTTTTTTCATCACACCACCTCTCTACTTTTCTGCACATCTTTTCGTAAAAAGATAAAAAATACACATATTTAGATCATCCCAAACAACCCCTCAATTTGCCGGCTTATTTTGCTACTCAAAATTCCTTCAGCACTGAACTACTGTCAGCATTTCTTTCACAATTTTTTTTCAAATAAATCTCCACAACAGTTGTATCTATTTTACCACTACACTTTTATTATTTTTTGGACAACTCGGTTATATAAATTGACTCATTTGCAACAAAAAGAACTGCAAGTTGTCATCAATGAAAAGGAATACCTATTGCGATTTATGGACCAAAACGGTTTTTATGGTCCAAAGAATAATTCTGCATCTCGTCATTTTCCCTCCTTATCTATACACGAATGAGTGTATCGCCTACACTATACATAAACAAAATTTAGTTTGATAAAGTTACACCAAGAATTGATATGATGCTCTATAAGGAGGATGTTGTATCAGTCAAGTAAATATTCTTTCTTGAACGGTGATTAGTGATGACTGGGTTTCCTGAATCGTTCAAGTCGATGATGGCAGTGTCACCGGGCTTGCAATCTCCAGAAAGAATTGCTTCACTCAAAAGATTTTCAATTATGTGAGTAACTGCCCTTCTCAGAGGCCGGGCACCATAACTAGTGTCGAAACCTTGTTGGCATACGAGGTCCATTACTGCTTCAGAGATCTCCAGATTAATTCCCAGAGATAAAAGCCTTCCTCTCACCTCTAGCATCATTATATTTAATATTTCAAGCATCTGCAATGAATGAAGAAGGCAAGTGATTACTTTAGAGAGCCAAAAATCATAAAAAGTAACAGCCTAGGTTTGATTAAAAGAAGTTTTCATGGTCCTTGGTAATCTCAGATTCATATAGAAAACTCAAGTACATAAAATTTACTAAATTCTTGTACCGACGAAAAAGTTATTTACATTTGTTTAGAAAAAAAAAAATTCATTCATTCCTCCTCACCCCCTCCACAACATCACCCACCGCTCATCACCGCCACCGGCCACTATTGCCGTTGACCTCCTCCAACAAACCGCTAGCCATCACCTCCCATGACCAATAACCACGTACGACCACCGCCAACCACCTCCCACCGATAGCAACCATCTTCGGCGGCCAACAACCACCTTCCCCCACCACTCCCGCCGGTCACCCCGTGTTATGGTATATATGATTAATACCTAACTCCAAGACCTGACCAAACAATCACGCACACAACGAATCTAGAATGGAGAAATAGAAGAACTAGAAAAAACAAACTCACAAAGCAACACAAGAGATTTACGTTATTCACCCAAATCACGGCTATGTTCACAGTCATTGCGGATTTACCAAGATCAATATGAAAGGAGTTACAAGAGCTTCTTACACTCAATTTCACAAACTCTCTCGCTCACTGTCACTATTGTGCATCTCTCTCTAAGATCAGAAAACTAATGAATAATCTCACAAACTCTCTCTCTACAATGATCTATCTCACTCTTGTATCCCCGACAATAACAACCCCTTTCACATATTTCAAAATAAGTTTTCAAAACACGTACCTAACATGTTTTTGTTCCCTTTTTAACAAAAATAAACGTATACATGTTTAATATTTTTTGTAAGCAAACAATAGTAAATTGTAAACGTTACCAAAAATGGTACCTAAGAATTCATATTTTGCCCGGCTGTAAAATAAGTTTCCTAGTTGATAAATTCTATTATTGGCAAAACCTTGATCCTGAGACTTTTTGGACTGGGCGAAAGACTTCAAACTATCAACAAGAGAACTGATACTGACAAACAATCGTTCAGGAGACATACCTGAGTCTTCTCCAAGGGACGGAATACAACTACTTCATCTATCCTGTTCAGCAACTCTGGTCGGAAGTATGCCTTAAGTTCTTCCATTAACAGTGCTTTCAATCCAGCATATGAGGTCGACTCGTCATCCCCAATCAAGAAACCAATGGAGTTGTGCCTACCCTTTGCAATGGCAGTTGAACCCACATTAGACGTCATCACCACCAATGCATTCTTAAATGATACTCTTCGACCCTGTCAAACACTTTTATCGAATCAGGGATTTTGCTCATTATTTCAAAGAAAAAAAAAATCAAACTTGATTATTGAAAGTTTCTCTCCTTTCCAAAATTAAAACTTCTTTTTCCTAGCTCAGGTGAACCCTTTCAGCAAATATGCATGATATGTAAAACAAACAGAACAAACCTGAGAATCAGTCAGGTGACCATCTTCAAATATTTGGAGGAGAATATTAAATATATCTGGATGGGCTTTTTCTATTTCATCAAGCAATACCACGGTGAAAGGTCGCTTTCTGATAGCTTCTGTAAGAGTGCCTCCTTCCCCATAGCCTACATAACCAGGGGGTGAGCCTATTAACTTGCTCACAGTATGCCGCTCCATATATTCACTCATGTCCAATCTCAGCATGGCAGCCTCCTGCCGGAAAAAAAATATATATATATAAACAGATAACATAGTAAGAGTTTTATACAAAACTAACAGGTATGCCGCGTTAAGAAATTTAGTGAAACACAGTTATGAGGTGGCGTGAACCAATATGGTATCAACTGGTTCCTGTTTTTTATGGGAATTCAGATCCTTGCAGGCTGAGCAGGGCCGGCCTTACCCTTAGGCAATTGAGGCAGTGGCCTTAGGCCCCGTTTGCCTTGAAGGCACCATAATTTATTTATTTATTTGTGTGTGTGTGCACGCAATTAAGATGATAATAATGAAATTATACCGAAGGCCCATTTAAACTACATTTATTTTTCTTCACCTAGTTTGTGTGTGTGTTTTCTCTTCTCCTCCTCATAAGGGGTGTAAGCGATTTAGTTTAGTTTTGTCAGAATTAGAGAAAATTTAGCACCAAACTAAATCCTTCAATTAGTTTTCAATTTTGTAAAAAGTAATGGAATCTCACATCCAAAAAAAAAATTTTTAAAAATGAAAGGAGAATGTGGAGATGCTCTATAAAAGTCTCCCATTTTATGAATTAAAAAAGACACATTAGAAAAACTTACACAAGAATAATTAGTAATTTTGCATCACAAAAAAATTTAAAAAAAATTAAAAAACTCAAATCAAACAAAATGTAATATTAAAAAAAATATATTATTTACATTTAAGGAATAAAATGCCTCAATTTAAAATTTTGCCTTAGGCCCCCAAAGGGTTGGGCCGTCCCTGAGGCTGAGAAAACTCACTAAATTGATGTTTGAAGGCTTTCTCTTGATTTAAATTTTACTATGTCATTTTATCCATTATTCTTTTGTAGTACATTCAGTTAAACTTGAGACATTGTTGTAATTTCAATTTTATTACATGAAGTTTTGTCCTCAATTGGTTTAGCTTTGTTGATCCATCAAAAAAAAACAAAAAAAAGAAAAAGAAAAAGAAAAAAGGAGGTTTAAAGAAAATACATTGAGCTCCACAAGTTTGGCATAATTACACTAGGCTCCCTTAAAATTTCAAATCACATAAAACTTAGCCCATCTTCATTAGTAATTCGTAAGTCGTATAGAGGGAGAATTGATATTATACTTTTTTATATTGAAATTATATTTTAGCCTTATTTATCCTTGTCTCTACAAATCAACTGACTAGTTTCAGTAAATCAAACTAAATAACCTGTTGGGTGTATTTAAAAAGTATGGTGAACAAATAAATATTAAATAAGAGATAATTTTAAAAATGACCAAAAAACAGATGTGTAATACATTAACTCATTGGAGTTTTGTCCTCATGTGATTCAAAACTTCAGTCAGACTTCAAGTTAAATTGACATGTTAACAGAATAAAGAGAATTCATATTGTTTTGCTCTCAAACATCCAATAATACTAAAACATTTATTGTGGATAGCATTTTTTTAGATGAATTAAATTGTAAGAAAATGGTATATGCATAAAGTCTTACTGAACCAAAATAGCACTCTGCCAAAGCTTTTGTCAATTCGGTTTTGCCAACCCCAGTGGGGCCACAGAACAGCATTGCAGCAATTGGCCTCGTGGGGTCATTCAGGCCAACCCGGGATCTCTTAACGACTCGACAAATTGATGCAACTGCTTCATCTTGACCAACAATCCGTTTCTTAAGCAGCTCATCAAGGCCCACCAGAAGCATTCTTTCATCAGCAGTGAGCTGGTGAACTGGAATCCCTGACCAAAGTGAAGCAACTGCTGCTATATCACCAGGTCCAACCACAACAGGTCTGGAAAGAAGATAAAGTGAGAAATTAACTTCAAAATTATGCAAAGCAACTAAACCTTACAATCCGTTTGGATTGGGGTGATAAAAGTAAAGAAATGGTTGTGGTCTCTCGTCTCGCTGAGAAAAGAAAAGAAATGATTGTGTTTTCTCACCATCATGTTTGGATGTGTAAGAAAACAAAGTATGTGATATAGAGATATGGGTGAGACTTTTTTTTTCTTCCTTTGCAATTTAATGAGCAATCTTGGTATTATAAAAAAGTATACAACCAATTAGCTTGTTTCTCACCAAATCTCACCTCTTTTGGTGAGAAATTAAACCTATAAGATAAGAGAGTTCTTTTTCTCACAATTTCTCACCTAACTTAACTTATTAACCAAACATGAGAAAGAGTTCTCTTTCAGTTCATTTCTTATCATTTCTCAGCAAATCACATGATCCAAATGGAAAGTTAATGTGTCCATCCTTCATTTACAATTCAAAGAGTGGTAAGCATACTCATCATCATCAGATGTGCCAGGCAAAGAGGTATCTGGAAGTTCGCTATCATCTTCAATGCTAGAAGCACCATCATCTTTAGTCAGTTTACTTGCGAGGACCTGCTCACACAAAAGTATACAGTAGATGATATCAGAAAATCTAAAATATTTGATGATATTAGCACATATCAATTGCCTACCAAAAGCAATAGGCCTATTTGGTGCAAGCTTCCAGCAAGCTGAAAGTTGATAATAAAAAAGTAGAAACTAAAAGCACCTCTGCCGCTACTCTCAATAATCAGCTTACTTAAGTTATTTGCCTCACAAGCTGTAACCAGAAGCCATACCAAACACTCGGGCACAAATTTTCAAAAAAAAATTTTTTTTAAAAAAAGAAAAGAAAAAAAAAGCAGTTATAAGCAGAGCTCCATAAACTGCACCAAACAATCCCAATGTCATTACCACTTCATGCATGGCCGAAACGGCTCTGATCTCATGCCAATAATCGTCTGGTGACTTTGAAAGTATACAAGTTTGCTGCTCCTTTCTTCTTTTGAAGGATTCTGCACGAGCTTTACTTCCCGCCTCATCAATGAGATCAATAGCCTTGTCAGGAAGATGCCTATCAGGAATATACCTTGCTGATAGGTGCACAGCAACATTCAAGGCCTCTAATGTGTATTTACATTTGTGATGGGCCTCATATTTTTCACGCAAACCCAATAGTATCCTAATTGAGTCCTCCTATAAATTATTTTCACACAGTCAATATAAAAATTGGTAACACAACAAATCTGATATAGATACATTGAGAAGAAATCTTTAAATTACATTACCTGACTGGGTTCATTAATCAACACAGGCTGGAATCTTCGTGCTAATGCTTTGTCCTTTTCAAAATGCGTCCTGTATTCATCCATGGTTGTAGATGCAATACACTGCAAAGAGAGGAATTGTAGTTAATTTTAAATATTAGACATGAACATTACACACATGAAAAGAAATTGGGTGTAAAAATAGAGCTTATTTTCCAAAATTACAACCACTTTAACAAGATATGAACATATAGACCACCAATTAAGATAAGAAGCAGATTGAGGAGAAGAAATAAAATGCCAATGGCGTAACTCAGGCAGTTGATCAATCCGGTAACAAAATGCACCAGCTATTAGAGCTGCTACTTTCGTCAATGGTCAATCTGAAACCTAACAAAACTAACTGAGGTAGAGGTATCGGAAAATAGAAATGAGAAATAAGAAAATAACTAAATGAGGTAGAGAAATCAAAAGGGAAATGAGAATAAGGAAAAGGAATTGGTGATAAAGGTTTGACTAATAAAACATTCAGGGAATAATAAGAAATTCTTCAGAAGACAGTGAAAATTGGGAAATGCATAATTGCCATGCCCACTTAAAAGTTGATGGGAAATACTTGATTGAAATAACAATCACTCAAGAAACTTGAAAGTTTTAAGGAGAAATACTTGAATGTTCCAAGGAGAAATTCTTAAGAGGACCTATTTCAAATGTGGATTGCGCTTGTAGTACTAGTAAGGTAGGACGATTGAGTTCTTTAGTGGAATTGGCAGAGAATCTCAGATTGAGATATGACATTTAGTGCAGGGACTTGCCTTTGAAGGTGGAAACGAGGATGCCAGAACTGTAGAGGATAGATGTGAACAAGGAAGCATCTTTCTGAGTAATGTTAGCTTTTGGCAGATTGCAGTTGCGCAGGCTCTCTGCTGCAGGTCCTCTTTGGAGTTTGAAGATGTACAGAGCAAGTATTTTGGGTGTTGTGTGACAAGACAAGGTGCAGGGTGAAAAGGAATGGAAGTTTATTCAGAAACTATAATGCATTACGCAGTGCAAATAATCCATCCTTGGAAGCAATTTGGCACAGAGCTTGGCTTGAAACTGAAAACAGTTTGAGATGCCATTATGACCAGAGAAGACTTTAGATGCAGTAGAAGATCATGATAAATTGGTGCTCCCATGAGCAAAGGGCAGGGAAAAGCATAAGCTATTTTCCTTTGCTTACCAACCATGTCAGAAAGTTGTGGAGTCTTCTATGAAGTTGGACCATCATAGCCAAGGGTTGTGTTTGGAGGAAGGCTTTGGAAGCCCCACCATTGTGCCTGGCATGGTGAGTTTAGAGGTAGAATACAGGAATAGGAGGGCATTTAAGGGAATGGAGCTCTAATCCTTAAGGTGAACAGATTTCTCTTGAGCACTTTGTATTTTTGGATCACTGAGCTTTCCAAATGCAAATTCTTTTAGAATCATCCGTGGAATTTCTGGGTGATTTATTTGTTTCAGTAAATGGTAAGGTGGTTTGGTCTTGTATATTTCGCGTTTACTATGGTTGCACCCCCTCCCCCTTAAGGAATTTCTTTACTAAAAAAGAAAAGGAAGATCCACATAATACCGATTAATTATTCAAAGATTGGAGTTGCAGTTCAGTCATCCCTTCTGAGCAACCTCCTTATCATCAGTCTGGTCTTGAATAGCGGCCAATTCCTAACCCATTTTGGTCCATGATAGCGATTTAGATCTGGCTCGGCCCTGTCTCGCTGTGCACCCTTGGCTTGGCCCAAGATCTAAGTTCATTGTCCAACATGGCTCATCATTTCAGGCGAACTAGCCCGTTTGCACGGCCCAAGATAGAGGCCCGTGCAAGTTTAGCTCGGTCCATTGTTCGGCACAAATTCCCCTCTCATCTATCAACACATCAACATATGTACTCAACAGCCGAGCAAAAATAAATGAATAAAATATCTACCTAACAACCAAACGTTGATCTTGTTATAAATAATTCCTCACATAATTGTCAAACTTTCGGTAGCATTTGGTAGAGTTTTAGAATTATGATTTGAGAAAAGAGTTATATTTTAAGTTAGTGAGTTTTGGAATTATGATTTGAGTATGGAAAATTTGTTTGGTTATGAGTTTTGAAAAGAGTTTTGAATTAAGTTTGGAATTTTTGATGTGGCATATGATATTTGATTCAAAAACTTACAACTCATAATCAAATACACAACCCAAAATTCTATTCAAAGCTCATAAAAAATTTAAAAAAAATTTCGAAAATATTTTTTATTTAAAATATAGAAATAACAGGTGCCAAAAAAAAAAAAAAAAACAAACAAACACTGTTCCGGTCAACCGGCTGGACGTCTGGGGGACATCCGGGAGGATGACCGGGTAGACATGTTTTCAAAAGTGGGTGTAGAATCAATTTTTAAAAATTCTAACCAAACACAACACTCAAACTAAGGTGTGGAATTATGATTCCAAAACTCCACCAAACACAGCCTTTATTTTCCTTCCTAGTTTTCGTCAATCTGCCACGTAGTGTTTCTCCATACGTTTGTTAATTGAACTCTTGCTTTGTCAATGTGAACACTACGTGTAGAATCAACTCAAATCCAATAGTCAACAAATTGCTTCCTCATTCAGATGAAATAAGTCTTACAGTTTCAACAAATCAATAACATGTTCTTCATCTTCCCTCTTTTCTCTCTCTATCTCTTGCTCCTCCATCTTCCCTCTTCTCTCTCTATCCCTCTTCTCCCATTTTCAGCTTTTTTTTTTGCGTATTTTTTTCAAAAGAAGCAGTTCGAAACTGTTACATAACAGTGCATAACAGGTCATTATGGCTGTTACGGCACCTTTATAACCGCTACGGCAGCCACTACGGCCGACACACATGTGAATCTCAATCACACTGCAAAAGCGGCCGTAACGGGTGGCGGTAACCACCACAACCATTACGTAACGGCGTTGCGTAACGGTTGCGGCCGCTTTTTAAAACCTTGAGCATGACCCTAACCTCATAGGTGAGGATACACCCCTGTTTTCAGCAAGGATCAACACACCTCTTCCCCCATTTTTAGCTTTTTTTTTTGCGTATTTTTTTCAAAAGAAGCAGTTCGAAACTGTTACGTTACGGTGCGTAACAGGCCGTTACGGCTGTTACGGCACCTTTATGACCGCTACGGCAGCCGCTATGGCCGACACACATGTGAATCTCAATCACACTGCAAAAGCGGCCGTAACGGGTGACGGTAACCACCACAACCATTACGTAACGGCGTTGCGTAACGGTTGCGGCCGCTTTTTAAAACCTTGAGCATGACCCTAACCTCATAGGTGAGGATACACCCCTGTTTTCAGCAAGGATCAACACATGGGGTGCACCAACTAAGCATTAGTTGTCACCATCTACTGCTATTACATGCAAAAAGTGGTATTTTCATGTCCTAAGTATTAACTGTAGAATTTAACTTATCCATATATCCTTTATCTAACTTTCATTCAGCAAGACAAAAGAGACTTGAGTCCCTGACATCAAGGTTGAGAGACTGGACGACTACCACTTACATCTTGGTTGAGAATTTACCATTCCTTGTGCATTAATTTTGTCATAAGCAATCATAGAAGAGTGAAGCATGATTATATCAGAGATCATCACCTGTACTTCACCCCTCCCAAGGGATGGCTTCAGTAGATTTGCAATGTCAAGACCTGACCCTTTGTTTCCTCGTCCAACCGTACCCGAACCAATTAGCGTATGAACTTCATCAATAAAAAGAATGACATTGCCTGCATTGCCATCAAATCATGCTGAGCCATGAAGTAAAATTTCAGATCCTAAACATAAATTCGGAAAATGTGTTTACCTGACTTCTTTACATCGTTAATTAATGTAGTAACACGTCCCTCTAATTCTCCCCTCTCCTTTGCGCCTGCGATTAACAGACCAATATCCAAGGACATGATGCGCTTTGTCTGTGCATAAAACAAAAAATCTAATCAAATGGTTATACATAATGGTCTTAAGAGAGGAAGTAAATGCATATGAATGAACTCGAGAGTTACAAGTGCAAAAGTAACATCAATCATTTAGGAAGGAGGAGAAAACACACCAACAAAAAAGCAGGAACGTTCGCCTGAGCAATACTAATTGCCAACCCTTCAGCAATGGCTGTTTTACCTACTCCAGCCTCCCCGAGAAGAATAGGATTATTTTTGGTCCTTCGGCAAAGTATCTCAATGATTCTCTGAACTTCGGTGTCTCGGCCAATCACAGGATCAATGAGTCCATCACCAGCACGAGCAGTGAGATCCACACAGAATTGATCCAAAGCACTTTTATCTGGCATAATAAGTAGTAATGTCTAAGCATTCCCCACATATTGTTTTACTTGGAAAATCAATAAAGAAACCAAAAACAGAAAGACGATAAATTTTGAACTTTTACCTCTTGTTATCTCAGAGGATCTGATAGCAGTGGATTTTGAAGGAAATGATTTATCACGTGTCCCTTTTGGTGCAGCCGGTAATTCTCTACCATCTTTGGCAACCTCTCCTTGAAGTCTGGACACTGCTACAGTTGCCAAGTGATCTACATTTGCCCCTAATCTGAAATCATATCAGTCTCGACACATAAATGGCAAATTAACAAAAACACATTTCATACTTGACCTGATGCATTTCTTCGGGATCATGAATGATGTAAGAAATTTTGAACACAAAGGTTGCCATGCTAAGCATGACATATTTATTCCTCTATACTAACAATCATCATTGATAAAGAAAAAGTGATGGCAAAGAACTCCAAATTATGTATCAGTGAGATTCTATATTCTGCACTAATCCTGAAGTTATGCTTTGTCTTCTTTCTATGTGTTAGCCATCAAATCTCTTTCATTTCATCTTTCCCAATGATGATACCAAACCAAACCAAGCCTTAAGTCCCATCCTTTCCCAATGATGATACAATAAATATATTGATATGTTCATAAGAAATGGCCCTATCTTCAAGTGGGGGACCATTGCAAGTCTTCTTGCATGCATTCAGAAATGACACATGTATCAAGCAACAAAAAATAGAATAAAATAAAAGTAAAGGTTATCACCCAGTGTTGGTCCTACCGAATGCAAGGTGCTGCAAGGGTTTACTGCAGACAGACCTAAAGTTTAGAATGTTTTGCACACCGTGGCAGTTCTGAGACTCAAACAAACTACTAAAAATGTCCATTAGCCAGCACCTACAATTCTAAGCTTCAGCAACTACCTTTGTATAAAACTTACAATTTACCATTGAAGAATATATTGGCTATTTGACTCCATGCCAGGCATGCCTGTCAGCATGTACCAGAGGTTATAGAGTAGAGCAAACCATTTACACTATTTAAGATGCACAATCTAGTTGTCCAAACTAGAGAATATAAACAAATTATATCCCCAGCTAAAACATAATTAAGTACATCAATAAGATTCAAATAAGACAATACGCTTTAATCTCACTGACCAGTTTTTCCACACCCCAAAAAAATGAGAACTCATTGAATAGAAACTAAAACATTGCTATGGTGCCAAGATTTTGAATATGAATAAGGATGGGTTTTTATGTGTAAAATTTACTGAAAATGAATACAAATGGTAGAACCCACAAGCACATTCATTATGGGTTAGGATTCTCTACACTAATCTTTCTTGTAATAATCTTGCAATACTAGTTTAAGTAGGTAATTTAAGCTCAAAACACAATCATTCTTGCAATAATCTTGATCATTGCAAGATTATTGTAAGAAAGTATTGTAGAGAATCCTATTCCTTCCTTTACACATACAAAAAAAAAAAATACACATATGAATATATTTAGAAAGAAAGCACAAATTTACCTCTTGAGGACACGCCCTGCATTGCCATCATCAACAGTGAAGAGGCCAATAGCAATGTGCTCAGGCGCAATGAAATTATAACCCATTGTCCTAGAATACTCAACTGCAGCCTCAAATACTCGCTTCGCGCCAGTCGAAAATGGCACATCAGTTGCAGAGGTGACCAAAGAAGCCTCAGACTTAACCGAATTCTGATCATTACTTTCTTCATTGTTCCAAATACTACGAACAGCCTCGCGAGCCACATCAATGGTGATCCCAGAACCAAGAAACCCATCAGAGCTACGGCTTTCAGCAATCAAACCCAGCAAAACATGCTGCGTAAACACCATTTCGTTGCCCAAAGATTTGGCTTCTCTTTGGGAAAACATCACTGCCTTAATTGCTCTCTCCGTGAACCGCACATCAACGCTCGAATGATGCAAAAATCACCGGCAAAGATCGCTTTTTTCGAGAGGAAGACAGAGAAAGCGTATGAAAGGAGTTGTTGGGTGAGATTGAAATGCCAAAGTAAGTAGAAAAATTACTACTACAACTACTTGTTATAGGCAAGGGGCAATTGGGTTGTGCTGTGGCGAATTTGGTGGAGACAAGGCGGTGACGAGGCCGAGAGAAAGAAGGCGGAACCAAGTCAACCCTCCTCGAGTGAACTGAGAGCGGTGAAGAACATGATGATGATGCTTCCATTGAAAGCATATCAAAATTATGACTAAAACCCAGTAATTCCAATCACAGAGCAACCCAGAATTCAAGAACAAGATGGGCTGAACCAACAAATAGACAGATAAATTTTGGTATATAGATGTATATATATCTCTGTGTGGGTGAGAGATGTGAGTTATGACTAAAACCCAGTAATTCCAAGAACAGAGCGACCCATAATTCAAGAACAAGATGAGCTGAATCTACAAATACATATACAAATTTTGGTATGTGTATGTATATAGATATCTCTCTGTGTGTGAAGTGAAAATTAAGACTAAAACCCAGTAATTCCAAACACAGAGCGACCCAGAATTGAAGAACAAGAAGGGCTGAATCTAAGAATACATATACAAATTATGGTAATATATGGGATGTAAAGATCTCTGGGTTCTCGGTGGGAATTTAAGGAGGGAGAATAGAAGAAGGAAGAGAGAGAGAGAGAGAGAGAGAGAGGGGACGAAGGAAGGAATAGAAGAAGGAAAGACGGCACGTCAAAGGCACGTTTTCTTGCGGACAAATGTTACTGTAGCATTTTGTCAAACAGTTGCGATACCAAAATAAAAAATGTACCTATCTTTTTCAGCATCCAGATTCATTTGTTTTTTTTTGTTTTTGACAACTAATTAGTGTTATCCTTAATGATGTGGCAGTGGGTCTCACCATGAATAATTTTTGGTCTTGGTGTTGTATTTTTTTTCTTTTTTTATTGAGTGTCATGTCATTAGTGGTCTTTTTAGAGCTCCAAAATTAGTAGTCTCTGTCATTGTTGAGAGTGACAATAGTTTGTGAAGCCAACATCTTTGATTAAACATCAAGGGTCTTCCTAGTTGGTAAAAGAGTTTACTTTTCTTTGATGAGGATTTAAAATTTTTATTATTTAAGTGAAAGTTGGATGGTTTAAGTGGGTCGGTTAGTTTTTCTCAATTGACTTAAAAGTAGGGATTTAATCAATTTGGGATGATTAGTATTTAGGTAAAATTCTATACCGAACTGATAATGTCGGTTTTATTATATTAAAAATCAATACAGATCAATTTTTTTACTAAATCACACCGATTCAAATGGTTCGATTTATTGTGATTTAATCGGTTTAAGTACTTTCAAAATGAGTCGTTTCTTAAATTTGTAGTATAATAAATAATTTATATAAAAATATTACATTAGTTATTTGTACATAGTTTTAATCATATTCAATCCAATTATTCATAAAAATACAAACAAAAAAAATTAATAAATACTAATGTTTGACATTTTTACTGAATTATAATTAGAAATAAAATATAATTTAAGAACTAAAGTCTTAACATCAAAATAAAATCAAAACTTAAAGCAATAATTTTATTATATGTAAACATTTACGGTCGGTTTATATGAAAATCGGTGTACAATATGTCAAAATCAGTATCGAACCAAAAATTGAAAAAAATAATTTTTAAAACCAAACAGACCGATTCATATTAAAATACCAACTAAATATGACCAGTTCAATTTGATTCAATCGATTTAATCGATTTTTTTGATTTTTTCTTACCTTCTTACTTATAATGGTGAATCTTAAGACTCTTACCTTAAGAATATTCTGGGTATTTAAAAAAAAAAAAAAAAAAAAAAAAAAAAAATTTTTAAAACCAAACAGACCGATTCATATTAAAATACCAACTAAATATGACCAGTTCAATTTGATTCAATCGGTTTAATCGATTTTTTTAATTTTTTCTTACCTTCTTACTTATAATGGTGAATCTTAAGACTCTTACCTTAAGAATATTCTGGGTATTTAAAAAAAAAAAAAAAAAACAAACAAACAAACAAACAAACAAACATGTTTGAATAAATGAAATGACAATGCGAATAATAATTTTCCACGTGAATGGCGGGGGTGAATTTGACAGGGAATGTGAAGACATAAATAGGCATTCTCTCTCTCTCTGAAAATAGTAGACCAAGATGTACACGGCACTGTTGCTTTGACTTGGTCCGGTGGAATTAACCTGTCTTAATTAATACTAGACTGTGTTCATCAACCCCTAGCCCATATTAAACTCACCAATAAGTAGGGGTGCCACCCAGTTGAGTTCGGGTTGCATGTCATCCGCTACGCGACTTAATGGAATTTAAATTGAGAAAATTTTATTCTCATCTGATAATTATAGTTTTGAAATTTACCGTGCGGGTTACGCAGATTGATGAGTGTATGCAGACCAGATTGACGAATTAAATAAATTTTAAATTTTCAAAAATAATTCTAATTTTTTACTGAATAAATCTTATTTTATTAATTTTTTAACTGAATAATGAGGAGTGAGAGTTCTGTTTTTCTATGAAATGAAAAGCACCCCTTTTAAATTTTAATACTTTGTTTATTAATATGCACATATATTAATATTTATGAAGAATTCTTGATTCTATGTGATTAGGTCGGATTTGGCAAATTAAAATTTAAATATTCGTCACCCAATTGAAAATCGATTTTTTTGAAATTACTAAACTCGCATCTATCCGTCCGTTGCATCTAAACTGATCATTTGAGATGAGATTGAATCGGGATTGACGAATTGGGTGGGTCGAATATTGATGTTTGCCCAACCTTACCAATTCATGAAGAAAAAAAATAAATAACAAAACAAAATAAATCTTCCTACTTGTAATAAAACACAATTCTCTTATGAGTAGGATTATCTAATTTTGTGATCGATTTATGTGTTTGTAGATTTTTTGAGAGGAAAATTAAGATTGAGTTTGACAATTATTTTTTTCTAGAATAAAGTTGTCAAAAAAAAAAAACCGAAAACGTTTGGTAAACGCTAGAAAAATTAGTATGTTTTTTGTTATCGGGAAAGTTTTTAAGTAAGTTGATGTGTTTTATTACTTGTTTTTATTTTAAAGGTCTGTTTAAAAAGTTACTTTTGTTACCTTTTGGAAAATAAAGAAATACAAATTTTTAAAAAATTCATATATATTTTGTAATTACTAAATAAAGATAAATCTTTTTTTTTTAAATTATTTTTATGATTTAGAAATTGATGTGACATATTATTTTTCTAAGAAATAAGTTGAAGTAGCAAATACAGTTAATTTGCCACATAATTTGAAAGAATCTTTAAGAAGACCTTTCCATTCTTCATTCATGTCGCTGATTCTTCGGCAGAGATTCCACATCAATTGGAGAAATTCTAAAAAATAATAGTATGAATCAAGATTTATCAACTCATAATTTGTTAAGAATGTATTTGTATGATGAAAATTAAATTGATGAAATGTGAAGTTTATGAGTAAAATAAATTTCAACCATTGATTTTTTTTTTTTTTGAATAAATTTTGATTATAAGTTTGAATTTGTAGTCTTATTAAAATAATATTATGACAAAACTAAGCTATTAACAATTTAACCTAAGGGTGGATAGCATTGTGGTTAAAGTTTGGAGTTTAACCCCCAAGGTCATGAGTTCAATTCCCTCCTCCTTGAGCCAATCTCCTGGACGAAATACAGTTGGTTAGGAGGTTAGACCTCAAGTTGTCTAATTAGCACTTGGTGTGGGTTTAATGCTCCCCCGTTGTGCGAGTCCTGATTTAAGCATAGTTTGTCTTGGGAGGTCGGGACAAGTTCCCAGGTTATAGTCTCCATAGTTTGTCTTGGGAGGTCGGGACAAGTTCCTAGGTTATAGTCTCCTCGCTCGGAACGGCCAACAGGACAGCTTGGTGATCTCTGCAAGAGGCGCTGCCTTGGACCTTTGTCTTGGGAGGTCGGGGTAAGTTAATGCTCCCCCGTTGTGCGAGTCCTAATTTAAGCGGAGTTTGTCTTGGAAGGTCGGGACAAGTTCCCAGGTTATAGTCTCCTCGCTCGGAACGGCCAACAGGACAGCCTGGTGATCTCTGCAAAGGGCGCTGCCTTGGACCTTTGTCTTGGGAGGTCGGGGTAAGTTCCCAGGTTATAGTCTCCTCGTTCGGAACGGCCAACAGGACAACCTGGTAATCTCTGTAAGGGGCGCTGCCTTGAACCTTTGTCTTGGGAGGTCGGGGCAAGTTCCCAGGTTATAGTCTCCTCGCCGCGCTGCCTTGGACCTTTGTCTTGGGAGGTCGGGGTAAGTTCCCAGGTTATAGTCTCCTCGCTCGGAACGGCCAACAGGACAGTCTGATGATCTCTGCAGGACAACCTGGTGATCTCTGCAAGGGGCGCTGCCTTGGACCTTTGTCTTGGGAGGTCGGGGCAAGTTCCCAGGTTATAGTCTCCTCGCCGCGCTGCCTTGGACCTTTGTCTTGGGAGGTCGGGGTAAGTTCCCAGGTTATAGTCTCCTCGCTCGGAACGGCCAACAGGGCAGTCTGATGATCTCTGCAAGGGGCACTGCCTTGGACCTTTGTCTTGGGAGGTCGGGATAAGTTTCTAGGTTATAGTCTCCTCGCTCGGAACGGGGCAAGTTTCTAGGTTATAGTCTCCTCGTTTAGAACGGCCAACAGGACAGCCTGGTGATCTCTGCAAGGGGCGCTGCCTTGGACCTGCAGGAGGGTGGGAAGGATTTTCCTGTAATAAAAAAAGCTATTAACAATTAACCTCTTGCTATTGGTCAGAATATATGAAACGTCTAATTTCATTTCTAATTTTTGAATTATATTTGATTTTTAATTATGGCCTAATAAGGCTAACGTTATATAAACTACACAAATTTTATAATTTTTTTTCTTATTTATTAATATGATATTATAATATTATTCAAGTAAATCTTGTTTCAGATTTTAAAATTTTATTATTACACGACATACTAATTATTAATTTTTTGTGTTAAAAAAAAATATTAGTTAGTAAAACACTTTGAAGAGTAATAATATTTACAAATTATTATTATTATTATTTTTGAGACTTTCCTATTCTATGATATCACACCTTTTAGTTGGAACATGGCTTTTGTTTTCTTGATTCTTTTTATTGTTTAGTTAATCATGATATTGTGATAATCAAATTATACTAAATTTACTTATAATTTGGAGGCGTATTAAAAATAAATGAATAACATTATATTAGTATAATGCATCCCATCGTTCATGCATTACTAATGAACGATTGACTTGTAAAGTGTCATATCATCGGATAAAAAATAAATTTGGCATAAAATTTTATTGTCAGTGAACAATATTAATTTTTAAAAATATGATCATTCTAACTTTACGCTTTAGGTGGTAATGCAATTTTGACCTTAACACCAGCTTAATGGTAGTCCCAAATTACTTGTCCAAAATCCATTATTTTCATAATTTAAGAGGGACATGGAAGAGAGATGGAATGAAGAATATACAGGGAGTAGCATGGCTTTCATTACTCAAACAAGAACATAGACTAGAAATACATAATAGATTGTAAAAGTGCTTTGACATATTGAGATTTATTTTGAAGGTTAACCCCATCATAACTAGGTTTAGCCCTAACAATCTATTACATTTTGTATAAATCATTCTACAATCCATTATGTGTTTCTAACATTGCTCAGAAATATATATTAAAAAAAAAAAAAAAAAACTTGACACAGCCTCAAGTACTGAAGATTTTAACATTTTCTTCCAATTAATCCGGTGTAACCAACTTCAAATAGGAATCTCAAAGGCATGCTCATAAAAATTGAAGGCAAGCTTGAAAATGAAGACAGATCAACACTTTCTTGCAATCTCATTCATCCTTTATTTTTGTTCATGCCACTAGTATATATAAACAATGGAATTCTAAAGGCCTACTCAACCCCCAATACAATCAGAAACTAATGAAAAGAACTCAAGTACTGAAGATTTTAACAGTTTCTTCCAATTAATCCGGTGTAACCAACTTCAAATAGGAATCTCAAAGCCCACTGCTCATAAAAATTGAAGGCAAGCTTGAAAATGAAGACAGATCAACACTTTCTTGCAATCTCATTCATCCTTTATTTTTGTTCATGCCACTAGTATATATAAACAATGGAAATCTAAAGACCTACTCAACCCCCAATACAATCATAAACTAATGAAAAGAATAGTCCTTTGGCACAGCAACCCTTCAAACCCCCACAGCATCACATCTTAAAATGCTACAATCCTAAAACAAGTGTATACATCAATTCCCTTCAATCTAATGTACAACTAGAGGGTACAACATTCTCTTCAGATTTTATATTTCTCTATGACAGCTCTGGAGGAAGCACATACATGAACATTTCAAGCCATTTATTACTTTCCTCTCCACAAGCAATTTAATTAGAAGCTCAGATGAATCAACTTTGGCTCCATAATATATCAGCATAAGCTTTCTGATCTTCCTGCTCCTTTGCGACATAATCAGTTGCGTCCAACACTTTCTCTTCTTCATCTGCTATCTCTTCTTCTTCCATCAATTCTTCAAATGCAACTGCTTCCAGAGATATCTCTCTCGAGCGTTCAGCCAATGCTTCTCTCATAGCCTGTTTTGTTGCTGGTGTGTCACTGGGTCTATATTTCGGGGTAGGCACGACAAATGGCAATATAATATCATCCAAACTTGGACTCTTATGGTTGGCACTACTGTTTGCATCTGATAGTGGAACAATGAAAACGATACCAAGCTCGTAGTTGCAGACGTGAAGTTTTGAACCCAATACAGAATTTGTCTTCACAGCTCCAACCGCCTTTGTCCTACGTGAATTAGAAATTGGACGTCCCCAAGCAGTGGCACTGAAGTTATGGGACCCATAATACAACCATCCAAAGGATGAAGCATCTTTCTTAGACTGCAAGCATCTTCGGGCTACCTGCTTTTACCATACATTCTCTCCTCTATTATCTTTAACTTAAACCTAGAAATTTCCAAAAACATAAATTGAAATAGAAATGACAGACAAGGAGGGAACTGGAGTACATAATGTGGCTTAAATTGTAACTTCACATAACACTAAGACATAGCACCACAAAAAGTAATTGATTTTAGGAGAGAACAATCTTCTCATTCTTGTGTATTATATCATAATATTATAAGATTACTCCGATACATCATATGATGTGCTAATCTTTGAGATCATGATCATTCATGCATACATGAAACCCAAGCATGACCTTGAGCACAAGTTGAAAATCTCTTCTATATTTGATTCAATGTTGACACTTGGAAAATAAGAAAAGAGAAGAGAATAAAAGTGACAGAGAGATGGTGCGAAAGCAGCACCATGGAGGAATTAGGGAGAGGAAGCAGCACTACGGGTTGGAACTTCCTATGCAAGAAGAGGAAGGAACATATAAAATAAGCCTTAAAGACTCCTCAAAAGTTGAGCCACATTCCTAGTCTCCTTAATCACAGTCGCATGAAGAATTTTAGAAGCAAAGACAATTTAAAGATTGAAGGTTGATAGAGTTGAGTTGGTACAGGACTGTGGCTTTCTAACTCAATGTATGATATGTTGTATGCAGAAAATACAATTTTTTTTTAATTATTTTTTTTGGAGGGGGCGGCTAAGTAACTAAAATTCATTAACTAAAAATGGAAGGGAAACCCCAATACAAAAAGGGAAGGATGTTACACCATAATAACCTCCAAAGACCATAAAGGACAACTCCTATACATATGCCAAAAAGTCCAAGGATTCTTGCAAGACAAAATCTACATAGTCAAAAAGAGTGTCTATGGAAGGCAAAGCCCTCCCAAAAGACCAGCAATACGAAATGGACAAGAAAAAGCTCTTGATCCTCAACACCTTGGAACGCTCTCGTGTTATGCTCCCTCCAAATAAGCCATATCAAGCAAAATTTTGGATGTACAAGCTTTGTCAGATCAATTCAAAAAATTTGGATGTCAACATTTATGCTTTCAGGTTATAGATTTGTAGCACAATAGTAATGGTCATTGGTTAACAAAGAATTGTACTTTTCCTTTTCTTTTGTGGGTTGGGTTCTACCTTCTTGCCACAACAACTTCTCTCTGGAAGCTAATTTCAAAGCAGTGCAAGGTTAATTTGTATTAGCGATTTGGAAGGTAATTAATAAGCTATTTGTTGGAAGGTGGAGGATTAACTCTTGATCCAGTGTCAAATACCAGAAAGATGACATTCAGAAATACTTTTTTTAAAACAGAGTTCGCATTTTCCCCAAGTGGCCATGGATCTTGTAAAACGCAGAAGGGTTTCTGGACTGAGAAGTGATTGAATTCATAGGACAGGTTGTTAGAAAATATCATGAGATGATAATCCAACAGTCCTCAGAAGTTGGATGCTTCACACATGCGATATATGTTTCAATTTGAAATGGCTACCTTCCGCATAAGTTCGTATGGATTGAGCTGAGATCCATTACAGTCGTTATTTGAATCAAAGAATCTCTGTTCCAGAACAGTATGTTAGATTTCCATCTCATAAGTGAAGAATGACTCAACTTTAGAGAATAAACTTGATATGGCTTTGGATCACTTATTCTTGCATTGTCTTGTAGCTTTGGATCTATGGCATCGTCTCTTTCGTTTGGTTGATGTCCAATGGCTGGCTCTGGCTGGCTCCGAATCTTGTTTAGTAATGATTTCACTAGATTTTTGGGACTTTGGAGGTACGATGAAAGCAAAAGTGATATGTCATTGTGTTGTCTACACAATTTTCGAGTGATTTGGTTGGAAATGAATGCAAAAACTTTTGAGGACAAATTTGATGATACAACATCTTTGTGGGATAGAGTATGTCATTTGGCATTGTTTTGGACTTCCATTTCGACTCTGATGGTTAAATTATTTCTTAGTTTTGGTGATTGATGTTTTCTCTTCTATTTTAGAGGACATCTTGTCCTATTTTTGTACTCTATTCTTTTTTAATAAAATTTCCTTTTGTTGTTGATCAAAAAAAAAGAAAAAAAAAAAAGAAAAGAAAAAAGAAAGGAATCTTGGAAGAGACAGACTTCAGAACAATAAGGAGGGAATGTGTTTACCTTGACATGCACGGGATGATTAACTCCATCGTTGGGATGAGGAATCGTATCATGAATCATGCCTACGTTTCTTAACCTTTGCCATGTTTTCTAGAAAAAACAACATTAAGCAAATTATGTGATACTAGGGAAATAAAAAAAAAAAATAGCTGATTGACTATTAAACAAGATGAAATGAACACTAAGATAATAATGGAAAGTCAAAGCTGCAAAAAACACTGTTGTATCTTCATTTTTATTTAACTAGAAAAGAAGACAGATTTTATGTTTCACTTGCAAGCACTACCAAAAGAAGAGAGGATTTTTTTCCTCTTTTTTTAAAAAAAATAATTATTCTGATTTTATTTTCACTAAGGTGTGGGACAAAAGTATAGGTGTGCAACTAAGTCCCCCACAGCCCTAGAGATTTATTATGAGGAATATCTCATCTCTAGCCTAGGTTATATTCATATATTTTCGAATGTAAAAAATTAAAATAAAATATCAATGCCTCTTTAAAATCCATGTGGGATTGGTGATGACTGCCACTTCACATTGGTCTAAGGATTTGCGGAAATAAGCCCCCCAAAATATCAAATCAATA